TGAGGATGAGGAGGAGGAGGAGGAGGAGGATCAGGAGGATGAGGAGGTGGAGGAGGAGGATGGTGATGGTGATGATGATGATGATGATGATGATGATGATGATGATGATGGTGGTGATGATGATGCTGATGATGATGATGATGATGATGATGATGATGATGGTGCTGATGGTGCTGATGATTGTGGTGCTGCTGATGCTGATGCTGATGCTGATGCTGATGATGCTGATGCTGATGATGATGATGATGATGATGTTTGTGCTGCTGGTGCTGATGATGGTGCTGATGATGCTGATGCGGGTGCTGATGATGATAATGTTGATGGCGATGGTGATGATGATGCTGGTGCTGATGGTGCTGATGATGCTGTTGATCATGGAGATTATGCTGGTAACGCGGATTATGACGATGACAAGGGGGCGATGCTGATACTGATGACGGATGGTGATGGTGATGATGGTGATGGTGATGATGTTGATGCCGACGATGATGGTGATGCTGATGCTGATGATGATGGGTCTGGCGCCGAAGTGGTTGATTGTAATTTTGATGATGCTGATGACGATGCTGGTGATGATGGTGATGATGATGATGATGATGATGATGATGTTGGCGATGCTGGTCATGATGCTGATACTGATGGTGTTACTGATGCTGCTAATGTTAATAATGGTGGCAACGATGCTGCTGATGATGCTCATGATGATGCTGATGCTGATGCTGAAGCTGCTGCTGCTGATGAGGCTGATGCTGATGATGATCATGATGTAGACGACACCGATTATGATGATGAGGAGGATGATGCTGCTGCTGCTGATGATGATGATGATGATGAGGATGAGGATGAGGATGATGATGATGATGAGGATGAGGAAGATGAGGATGAGGAAGATGAGGAGGATGATGAGGATGAATGTGAGGATGATGAGGATGATGATGATGATGATTATGATGAGGATGAGGAAGATGAGGATGATGCTGATGAGCTAATGCTGATGATGAGGATGAGGATGAGGAGGAGGAGGAGGAGGAGGATGAGGAGGTGGAGGAGGTGGAGGAGGAGATGGTGATGATGATGATGATGATGATGATGGTGATGATGATGATGATGCTGATGATGATGATGATGATGATGATGGTGGTGCTGATGGTGCTGATGATTGTGCTGCTGCTGATGCTGATGCTGATGCTGATGCTGATGATGATGATGCTGATGATGATGATGATGATTGTGCAGCTGGTGCTGATGATGGTGCTGATGATGCTGATGCGGGTGCTGATGATGATAATGTTGATGGCGATGGTGATGATGATGCTGGTGCTGATGGTGCTGATGATGCTGTTGATCATGGAGATTATGCTGGTAACGCGGATTATGACGATGACAAGGGGGCGATGCTGATATTGATGACGGATGGTGATGGTGATGATGGTGATGGTGATGATGTTGATGCCGACGATGATGGTGATGCTGATGCTGATGATGATGGGTATGGCGCCGAAGTGGTTGATTGTAATTTTGATGATGCTGATGACGATGCTGGTGAGGATGGTGATGATGATGATGATGATGATGATGTTGGCGATGCTGGTCATGATGCTGATACTTCATGGTGTTACTGATGCTGCTAATGTTAATAATGGTGGCAACGATGCTGCTGATGATGCTCATGATGATGCTGATGCTGATGCTGAAGCTGCTGCTGCTGATGAGGCTGATGCTGATGATGATCATGATGTAGACGACACCGATTATGATGATGAGGAGGATGATGCTGCTGCTGCTGATGATGATGATGATGATGAGGATGAGGATGAGGATGATGATGATGATGAGGATGAGGAAGATGAGGATGAGGAAGATGAGGAGGATGATGAGGATGAATGTGAGGATGATGAGGATGATGATGATGATTATGCTGAGGATGAGGAAGATGAGGATGATGCTGATGATGCTGATGCTGATGATTTTGATGATGAGGATGAGGATGACGATGAGGAGGAGGAGGAGGAGGAGGATGAGGAGGATGAGGAGGTGGAGGAAGAGGATGGTGATGGTGATGATGATGATGATGGTGATGATGATGATGATGCTGATGATGATGATGATGATGATGATGATGATGATGATGGTGCTGATGGTGCTGATGATTGTGCTGCTGCTGATGCTGATGCTGATGCTGATGCTGATGCTGATGATGATGATGATGCTGATGATGATGATGTTTGTGCTGCTGGTGCTGATGATGGTGCTGATGATGCTGATGCGGGTGCTGATGATGATAATGTTGATGGCGATGGTGATGATGATGCTGGTGCTGATGGTGCTGATGATGCTGTTGATCATGGAGATTATGCTGGTAACGCGGATTATGACGATGACAAGGGGGCGATGTTGATATTGATGACGGATGGCGATGGTGATGATGGTGATGGTGATGATGTTGATGCCGACGATGATGGTGATGCTGATGCTGATGATGATGGGTATGGCGCCGAAGTGGTTGATTGTAATTTTGATGATGCTGATGACGATGCTGGTGATGATGATGATGATGATGATGATGATGATGTTGGCGATGCTGGTCATGATGCTGATACTGATGGTGTTACTGATGCTGCTAATGTTAATAATGGTGGCAACGATGCTGCTGATGATGCTCATGATGATGCTGATGCTGATGCTGATGCTGAAGCTGCTGCTGCTGATGAGGCTGATGCTGATGATGATCATGATGTAGACGACAACGATTATGATGATGAGGAGGATGATGCTGCTGCTGCTGATGATGATGATGATAATGATGATGATGATGCTGATGATGATGATGATGATGATGATGATGATGATGATGATGATAGTAGTGATGGTTATGATGAGGACGATGATGATGATGATGATGACGATGATGATGACGATGCTTGTAATGCTGATGATGCTAATGCTGAACATGGTGATGATGTTGCTGCTGATGATGATGCTTCTGCGTTTGACGATGAAGGCGATGCTGTTGATTCTGGTGATGGTGATGATGTTGAAGGTGATGTTGGTGATGATGCAGATGATGAAGCTGATGGTGATGATGGTGATGCTGGTGATGGTGATGATGAGGAGGAAGAGGGGGAGGGGCAGGAGGAGAAGGAATAAGAGGGGGAGGAGGAGGAGGAGGAGGTCGGGGGAGAGAGGAGGGGGAGGAGGAGGAGGAGGAGGAGGAGAGGAGGAGGAGGAGGAGACGAGGAGGAGGAGGAGAGGAGGAGGAGGGAGGAGGAGGAGGAGGAGGAGGTGGAAAAGGAGGAGGGGGGAGGGGGCGGAGGAGGCGGGACGTGGGCGTACTGGAGGAGAGAGGGGGTGGGATGAGAAGGATACTGGTGAGGTACACGGCCTTAGAGGGTGGCTGGCCGGCTGGCCCCTAGATGGCGGAATGCCAGCCACCAGCGGCCGACGGAATCTCATCTTCAATGGGAGCATCGGTGGAATTACCAGGTAGCGCAAACACCATTGGGATGACATGTACTCCAGATTTCGTAATAAAGGGAGGGGGGTCTCATTTCGGGGGGGGATCTCTTCCAGGCTATCTTGGAGGGCCTGGGGGGTCTGGGGACGATGTTTTGGAGGGTTCTCCCACGGGGGAGGTCTGAAATGGCTTGTCTTGGAGGGTCCAGACCCCCTTCCTTTTATTACGAAATCTGGAAAAGATGGGGCAACAGCCACGGGGGCGAGGTGGCTGTGGGCTGTTCGTCACAATGAGAGCACCTCAGGCGTCGCGAGAGGGTGGGAGCACCCTTGAGGTAACGAGACACATAAGCACACACTTGTTCGCTTACGTTCGAGGCAGAGGACAGGAAGAGGGATCTGAAGCAGATCTCAGGCCTATATCAAAAACAGGGCAGAGGCCCCCATGCATCAGGCGACTGAAGAGTGGCGGATGGTGCCGCAAGGAGGGACGAACACGGGGAAACATTGACGCTGAGGTACCCAAGCCGAAAGGTAAACGGGCAGCAGCAATGGAAGCGAGACGGACGTGGGCTGTGCTTCGAATGTATGGGTCGATGTGATCATAGCCCGAGAGTGATTGGAATTCCTGAGACAGCGGGAGCACCACAGGAATTAATAGTTACCACCGCGCGCCATCATACACTTTATTTACCCGGCGTAGCAAAACTTATTGGATTATGAATAAGTTGAACCATTGGGGGACGGGGAGAGCAGGAGGGTCGAGCGGGTTCGGATGAATGCGAATTTGTCTGGACAGGGGGAAAAGGAGGAGGTGGAGGAGGAGGAGGAGGAGGAGGTCGAGGAGGAGGAGGACGGGGCGGAGGAGGAGTGGGAGGAGGAGGAGGGGGAGGAGGAGGAGGAGAGGGAGGAGGAGAACGTGGAGGCGCCACCGAAACACGACTCTTCGGATCGCTTCCCAGCTTGTGGGTGCGAGACCATCTTTTCTCGCCCATTGGTCCGCACGATCTGGGCCGTCCTTCTTCAGCATGGCCAGGAGCCTCTGGCAGGCCTTCGTGTGCAGGCCTGGCGGCGTGGTTGTGTCATCCGAGGTGACGTCGAGCATCGCGACGCGTCAACGGAGTGCCGGTGACCATCTCTTTGCCTGGTTTCGCCATACTTTTTCTTCTTCTTCATATTCGTCTTCTTAAGATTCGCCTTCTTCTTCTTCTTCTTCATCTTTCTTCGTCTTCTTCGTCTTCTTCTTATTCGCCATATTTCTTCGTCTTCTTCGCCTGGTTTCGCCACTTTTTTTTCTTCTTCAGGTACCCCTTGAACTCCTGACGGCAAGAGTGGACGGCTTCGTGCTTCGTGCTTCAGGTTGTGTTCGAGGGCCCGCTTCCGCGCCTCGAGCTGCAGGACGGGACCGCGGAGCGTTCTGGGGTTTTCCCTCCTGGGAGGGGAGGGGCAGAGAAACGGGAGGAGGATTGCCACTCCAAGAACCGCCAGACTTTTATTAAGTAGCCACTTTGGCTCAAGAGCATTTCTTGCCAGAGCCGATCTCACTAATGCGTGATGGTTCTGGCTTCATGTGCCACACTTCTTACTTTCGTATTACAATCTCTCTATGCGGGTTGACAGTGCGGTCAGCCGGTGTGATTTCTCTAGCATTGCATCCTTCTGAGCCGCCCATGTTATGGAACATTGCCAACCAGACAGATGGCGTCGAGCAGCAAAACAGGAGCGCGCAGCTCATCATCGTGGACACGGTGCGGCACATAGCCGAGGAATACAGCCATCAAGGTGACCATAGCCGCGGCGTGGTGAGCACGTGGGCGTGCATCACCATCGTGGCCTCGATCTCCATGCTGATAGCGTGCTTGTGCAGCTACCCGATGATGCCGCACAGCCTGCAGCTGATACTCTGGACTGTCCGATCGAAGGCGAGAGGAGCATGGCAGGCGCTGCCCTCGTCGTGCCCCCAGCATCGGCGGTTCAGAGATGGGGCCCTGAGGGAAGGAGGGCCCCAGGGATGAGAGGCCTCAGACAGTGCAAGTTCAACCTGGAGCCCATGGGATCCGACGTTGCGAACAAACTGCAACGTCGCGAAAAATCATTACTGGAGCCCGGCACCCGATCTTTCTTAGAGCCTTTTTTCGATCGATCTGTGATGGTCCCGGGGCCCGGCACCGGGAGAAAGCGCCCGGTGTGGCACCGAGTGCAGCGCCCGGATCTCAGGCCCCTTCCCAGGCCCTGACATCCGATTCCGTTCTTTTTTTTTGTTTTCCCCTACGAGGGCCCGAGCTGTTCCTTGACGGCCCTGGGGCCCGCCGAGGGCACCCCAGAGGCCGGCAGCAGCCCCAACCCCCGCGCCGTGCCCCTTCCGCTGCGCGAGGGCGCGTGTCAGACGGTGAGCCACGGGCGCTTTCTCGCTCGTCTCGGAGGGGGCGTCCGTCGGCGAGCAGCGCCCCATAGCGCTCCATAGAGCTCGAGAGCGCCAACCAGCGTGAGGTCGGGCATGTCCCGCTACAGGGGGTTTTTGGGCGGGAACTAAAACAGGGTCAAGAAACAGCCCAAAATGGTCACAAAGAGTCAAAGCATCGCCCCCAGACCATTTGCTTACAATTTTTGAATATTCCTCCCGTAGAGGGACACGCCCGACTCAAAACTAGCGCCGAATAGCCCTCAGTTCAGTGGCCGCATGCGAACCCTACCCCCGCCCCCCACGATTTCTGAGGGGGGGGTGGGGCTCTCTGTGCTCGGGACCTCCCGAACGAAATCACCCCCCACCCCCCCTTAGAAATCGTGGGGGGTGGGGGTATGGCTCACATGTGGCCACCAAGCAGTAGCGTTAAGTCGGGCCTGTCCCTCTACAGGAGGAGTATTCCCCCCAAACAAATAGTCTGGGGACGATGTTTTGACCACGTTTGGAATATTTTTCAATATTGTTGGATTGTTTTTCCTTAAATTTTTCGTCCAAAATCCCCCTGTAGGAGGACACGCCCGATCTAACCGCAGCGCCCAATAGCGGCCACGTAGCGCCTACGCAGCGCCCAACGGCGTACTGAGGGGGAGCTGCGCGGCGCACGCCCGGCGCGCGGCTGGAACGCGCTGCTGGGCGCCACCGGGACAGCCAGAAGGCCTCCGTGCGTTGTCCGAGGCCTGTTGTCAAGTTGGGCCTGTCCCTGACGAACGAACAACACACACCCATACCTATAAGGAGGTCGGAGGGAGAAGGACTGGCTATGGGTATGGGTGCGGGTTGTCGGAACCCTGCGGAGGCTCCTGTTCGAGCGGGGACCCCCATCCGACAACACGCACCCATAGCTCATTCCGCCCCCCTATGGGTAGGGGTGCGTGTTGATCGTTCGTCAGTCCCTCTGCAGGAGGAATATTTTCAGATAGTCAAAAAATAGTACGGGGACAATTTTTGGAGTAGTTTGGTGTATGTTTGGAATGTCTCTGGATTGTTTTCAAGTTTTTGCCAAAAATCCCCCTGTAGGGGGCACAGGCCCGACCTCAGCGTTGTCCGAGGTCTGGCGTCGGTATCGTTTGACCGATCCCCATCCCCATCCACATCCCCATCCGGACCCCCCGCATTCTTGCACCCCATTTGGGGACACGCACTTCGGAACCCGACGGGAACGGCCCACACCCCCATCCGTGGGGGGCCAATCGACCACTGGAGCCCAGGCCGCGCTCATGGGGATGGGGATTAGGGGAACAAAAAGTGACATAAACATACAAACTCGGAGGTCCGCGCGGATTTCTCGGATCCGCGCTGGACCCCCTTGGCGGCGCCTCCGGCGCCGCCCCTGGCGCGCTCCGCGCGCCAGGGAGGGGAGCCCAGCGCCGATCCGAGAAGTCCGCGCGCACCTCCGAGTTTGTACGTATATATATATATATATATATGCCACTCTTGTTGTTCCCCTATAGGGATCGGGGTCGGCTCCGCGACGCCCTCTGGGGGGCCCCCCCGCCCCTCGGGGCCCCACCCCGGAGCCGCCCGCACCCGCGCGCGAGCCCCCGCCCGCACGCCGCCGGCCTCACCAACGACCGCCTCACGAGGCTCTGCGCGGGCGCCGGGGCGCCGCCCACCCCGCCGCCGGCGGAGGGCGGCGACCGGGAGGCGGCGCGCGGCGAGGAGCGGGTGGGCCCGGAAGGGGGAGCCGGCGACGAGGGGGCGGTGCCACAGAGCTGGTGCAGGAGGTCTGCGGGGTTGCCACGCACGCGTGGGGCGCGCAAGGGTCACGTCGGGGCCCGCGCGAGCGTGCTGCTGTACTCCGTCGCGTGCGGGGCATGGCTTGCAGTATACAGTGGAAGACAAGTCTCCGGCGCAGCACACTTGCAACACACTTGCCCCAAATCCATGGCACCACGCCCGGGGATCCGACGACGACGCCGCCGCCGCCGACGCCGCCGACGACGGCGACGGCGACGACGACGCCGCCGACGCCGCCGACGACGACGATCCTGTCCTTGATGTTCTCCGCCTCCTCCTCCTCCCCCTCTTCCTTTCCCCCCTTTCCGCTGGACCCCCTTTTGGGTCACCCCGAGAGGAGCACGCGGGGCCCCCGCCGTGCCCGCAGGAGCGGTGCGATCGCAGCGGGCGCGGCAGGAAGCGAAAAGCACAGCACAGCGGAGGCGACGGCAGGGGGGCGAATCGCCCCCGGGGGGGGAGCGAGACGTGTCAGGGGGCCACAGGCGAACCCTATACCCCCACCCCCCACGAGTTCTGAGGGGGAGGGTGGGGGTAGGGTTCGCCTGTGGCCCCCCAACATGGTGTCCAGGGCCGCCGATGGTCCATGCCTTCGGCGCGAACACGTGTGGTGCCCGCCCCGGGGCGATTCGCCCTTGTCGTCGCCGCCGAGTGGTGCGATCGAGGTGGGTGCGGAGCAGAGAGCAGGGCACAGCAGCGGCGTAAGCATATGTTCTCGGAGGTCCGCGCGGGTGTCTTCGATCCGCGCTGGGCCTCCCCCGGCGGCGCCTCTGGCGCCACTCCTGGCGCGCTCCGAGCGCGAGGGAGGGGGTCCAGCGCCGATCCAAGGAATCCGCGCGGACCTCCGAGAAATCATGTTGACGAACCAACAACACGCACCCATACCCACAGGGGGATCGGAGAGGGCTATGGGTGCGTGTTGTCGGATAGGGGTCCCCGCTCGAACGGGAGCGTTCCCCAGGGTCCGACAACCCGCACCCATACCCATAGCCAGTCCTCCTCCCAACGACCTCCCTATGGGTGTGGGTGTGTGTTGTTCGTTCGTCACATGTCTATGCAGTTTTTGCTTCGCTTCTCTGAGAAAGGGGTGCCAGGATCTCAGCAGATCCCGTCCATTCAGGGTCCGTTTTTCGATCCTTCCGGTCCGATTCGGCATTGGCTCTGGCAGGCCTGATCCGATGCGATTCCGATTTTCGGGCGATCCGATGCTGCCCGTTGCCTGCGTGGCGCTGTTATGCATCCTGGCGCCGCCGAGTCGATTCGATTCCGACTCCCATCCGATGCGGCCCGATTCGATACATGTTCCGATCCGATTCGATTTCTTGATTCGATGTTGGCTGCTCCTGCCCATCCTGAACAGAGCGCGCCGTCGGTGTCGCCGCGGACGCCGTCCATTTGAGACGCATGGTTCGGGTGTTGCTAGAGGGGCCCCTGGCCCAAGGTGCCCCCAGCCGAGGCCCAGGGGCCCCAGGGGATCCACAATGGAGCGAGCAGCCGCTGTGCACCTTGGGGCCAGGGGCACCTTTCCCGAAAGGCCGCCAGCCCAACAGCGGCCGCTGCCGGTTCTGGATCGCGTTCGCTGTGGGGCATCGTCACCATGTTTTCCGTATTTCCGGCGTCTGCAGGAGGCGGAGGGGCTGGACACTCGCGTGGAGGCCGCGGCCTGCGGCTGAGGGCCTCCCCAGGTCCTCGAAGGTCGGGTCGGACGAAAGGGGGGTCTGGGAAAGGATGGGATTACGAAATCTGCTGCATGCAGTTGGTTTCGGCCCCCCGAGGAAGCGTGGCTGAAGAGATCCAAGACGGCACAACATAGGCCCAGGGCGGCCCCAGCACCGCCCCAAGAGGCCCCCAAGCAGCCAGAATACAGCTCACGAGATCTTCAAAACGGCCCCAAGAAACTTCCCAACCGGCTCTCCAGCACTGCCCCGCCGCCGAGTTATTTCTTTGATGAATTGGCGCCTTCCGGCGCCGGGAAGCGCCAGAGAAATCAGCAATTGTTGCCCCCCCCCCCCGTCCCTTTACTAACCCTCTGTGATGCCACGTTGCGGAACAATTGCAGCATCGAGAGAAATCAGGACCAGAGCCCTGCACCCCATCTTTCTGCAGCATCTCTCGAGCCGGATCGATCCGGGATGGCCCCAGGCCAGACACCGTGCGAAAACGCCCGGTGTGGCAAAAAATGTGCAAGGCCTGGATCTCAGGCCCCTGCCCGTGCCCAGACATCCGATTGGGAAGGCCTCAAGTCAGGAGGGAAAAAACACACAGACACAATTAATCGCCGATCCCCCAGGAAAATATGGTAAAATCGGAGGTTTGGGGGTGAGATGGCAGTGAAACGGAGACCCCCCACTGGGAAATCGGTTTCGGTTTCGTGTTCGTGTCGTGCGTGCGGGCGAGGCGAAGCTGCGCGTGATCCTCCTGCAGCTAGTAGGAGCGAAAGTCCGTGCCTGTCCGCCGGAGGCTGGGAGGTGTCCCAGTTGGGCCTGGCGGTGTCCTGGGTTTCCCGGGTGTCAGTAGGAGCGAAAGTCCGTTTCCCGTCCGCCGGTGGCCAGGAGGTGTCCCAGTTGGGCCGGGTGGTGTCCCGGGTGTCCTGGGCGTCCTGGCGCTAACGCATGTCGCTAATTCCATAATTCATTTTTTTCGGCGCTTGCAGCGGGCTTTCTTATCCAATCCAGTTTATCTTATCCAATCCATCTTGTCCAATCCAAACCATCTTATTGTATCCAACCTATCTTGTTCCATCTTACCCAATCCAATCCACCCAACCCAATCCATCAATTCATCTGTTTCTGCGCCTGCGGCGGGCCAATCCAATCCATCTTATTTTCTCCAATCCATTATTTCTTCCAATCCAACCCATCTTATCAGATCCAATCCATCTTATCCTATCCAATCCAATCCACCCAAGAGACAGAGACAGAGATAAAGAGAGAGAGAGAGAGAGATAAGATCAAGGTGACAGGCTGGAGGTCAGTCGGGGTGGGCATTCGATCTCAATCCCCCCCCAACCTCCTTATCGCCCGCAGGGCGGTCGTAGAGGTATGCGAAGTGGGGGCGAAGACACCAACCCAGAAAGTATGGGAAAACTTGGGAATATGAGTATTTGTGTGTATTTGTTCGTGTGTCCCAGGGTCCCTTCATCAAGGCCGGTGCCGCCGACCCTGAAGACGATGACTCTGACCACGACGAGGTTGAAGAAGGATGAGGAGGAGCCGCATGCAGACCCCAGGACCCCCCCAGAGGGGAGTCGTATCTGACCCGGCCCCCCCTCCCCCTCTCGGCGGGGAGGGATCAAAGGGAGGGGGCTTCCCTTCGAGTCAGTGACGACGTCGCTCCACTTCGCTGTGGCTGGCGCGCTGGAGGAAGAGGGCCCGAGGAAAAGAGGGGGAGAGGGGGCGGCGACGGGCCCAGCGCTGGAGGAGGAGGGCCCCGGGAAGGAGGGGAGAGCGGCGACGGGCCCGGGGAAGGGGTGAGCGCCGGGAAGAGGGACGACAGAGAGACGACGACGAAGGCATGGCGGAGAGGCCGACTCGAGCAGACGAGCCCCTCACGGCACGCCGACGGGCTCGGCGGCTCTCCTGCGCTTCTTCGGCTGCGGGGCCCCCGGAGCGGCCGCGGGCCGGCCCCCCACGGGCCGGCTCCTCGGCCCCCGGCCGGCCGCTCTTCCGAGGGCCCCCCCCCCGCGAGGCCGAGGACGGCAGCGGCTGCCCCTGCGTCGTGCCCCCCCCCCCCCCCGCGCGACGCGCAGGGGCCCAGGGGCCCAAGCCCTCCAAACCCGCCAGGATCCTGCAGGTTTGGGCTGGGGCTCCTGCCTCGAGTTTTTTTTTCATCAGGGCGTATACCCCGTGGAGAGGAGCCCACGGGCAGCACGGGAGCGGAGCAGGTGCCGATGCCGCTGCCCTCCCTCGTCGTGGACCTGCCTCGGAGTGTCGGTCGGGGCGCCCCCGCCCCCCTGTGCCTGCGCTCCGAGAGGGCGAGGACAGGCTGCGCCCCCCCGGAGGTCTCGTGCCGGGCCGTCTTTGCCTTCGGGGGCCCCCGGACGGGGCGGTGGCCCCACCGTGCGGTGAGTCGGTGGGGACTCGGAGTCCCCGCACGGTTTTGGGGCCCGAGTCCCTCTCCGAGGATGTCTCGGGCGGCAGGGGCCTCCGAGGTCCCAAAACCGAGCGTTGACGGACCGTGCGATGAGGTCTCGGGGGATATCGAGGTCACCGCGCGGTCCGTCACCGCACCGTTCCGGGACTCCAATCAAGAGGGGGGTAGGACTAGGCGGAGTGCATACAGTGGCCGGGGCCACTGTATGCAGCCTTCCTCCTCCTCCTCTTCCTCCTCCTCCTTCCCCCCTCCTCCCCCTCCTCCTCCTCCTCTTCCTCCTCCTCCTCCTCCTCGTCCTCCTCCTCCTCTGGGGCCGCCACCGCCGCTGGCAGGACGGGCTGCACCCTCCCGCCATCAGGCGCACGGCGCCGGCGGCCGGGGCCTCCACCGCGCGCGCGGCCCTCCGCGGCAGCGGCCGCGGCAGCGGCACCGAGCAGTGGCGAGGCGTCCTAAAGCTCGGCTGTCTCGGGAGTGGGCAGGACCCCCAACAGTGACACGTCGTTCAGTGCATTGTCCGCTTTCGGTTCTCGAGGGGGCGCCGTGGCCGTTGTTTTCCAGGCTTGCGCCCGCCAGGTTTGGGCCTCAGGTCGTTTTCACTAAACCACGTTTTACGAAAGGGAGGTCTGTCCAGCCCCGACTGTAGGCCTACCGAAGACTGTTCCACGAACCTTTTGTGGTCTGCACGGCGTGCTCCCAGGAGCAGTTCTGGCCGAGGCTGCTTTGTTTTGGCGCGTCGGGCTCACGTTTTGAGAACGTGGCTTTGGTTCTCAGAACACTTGTGGGTTCTATAGGAGCGTTTCGTGGTAGGCCTACAGGAATGCCGGGGCGGTCGGTTCCTGCCCCAAGCAGGGGGGCGCGGCTCTGCCCCCAGGCGCCGGGCGGACCTCGGCCACGCCGACCACGACGAAGCTGTGTCGCGGTGCCTCGTCGACGCCGGTCTCGGTCGTGGTCCGTGCCGGCCGTTTCGCGAGGGTGGCCCACGAGTCGACGGTGTCCAAGATGGTCGGGCACAGCCAGGACCCCAGAGAAGGGGACCCGGTCAGTAGTAGGGCCCTGGAGCACCCAAATTGGCCAGAGTCACTAAACCAGGTCTGCCGTAGCCGGTGTTTTTCCGGATGACGGCAGTTGCGGTTAGTGGAAGGGGCGGGGGGGGCCGTCCCCCAGTATTCATCATTAAACCAGGTCCCGCTAAGCCCAGTTCTGCCAATGCCTGAGGTGTCCAAGACGGGTGGTGACCAAGACCGGCACCGACGTCTCCGCGTTCAGTCTTGGTAGTGGTCGTCGTTTCTTTCCCTCCACTGGTCGGGGCCAACAGTAGGGGGGGGGATAGGCACAGGCGGGGATGCATCGACCCCCCATCGCCCGTTGATCGCCGATAGGGGCCCGATGGCCACAATCTGCCCATGAACGCACATATTCGTTATCCGAGGCTCACCCTCAAATTATCCTGGATGTATCGCCGATGTCAGGTCGGTGTTTTCTCCCCTGAGCTGGTCCCCCCGATCGCTGCCTCTCAACTGCGGCACGGCGGTTTCCTCTCGTCCGCGCGGCTGCGCAAGAGGTCAGGCCCTCGCAGCCGCGCATGCAGAGGGTCCCCCTCCTCCTCCCTCTCCTCCTCTGTTGCGCAGGCGGAACGAGGGCAGGACTGGGGGAAACGAACATCATACGAGAACGTGGAACACTGTTTAGGTCGAGCCCTGCCTCCTCCTCCTCCGCCTCCTCCTCCTCCTCTTCCCCCTCCCAGCAAGGGCTCTGGCCCTTGCGGGCGGAGTGGTCGAGGTTAGGATCTCCTCCTCTTCCTCTTCCTTCTGCTCTGTTTGCGTACAAGGCTCGCGCAAGGCACTGAAATCAGACGCCTCCCGCAGTGTGCTCACTGACGCGGAACCAGGCTCTGCGATGCGTGCCTCCAGCCTTTCTGCAGTCGTAGCCCGATTCTGAGTACGGTCGGACGGGGGTCATAAGATCGAGGTCGGATGTTGAAAGTTCTTGTGCATCCTGGGGGAGGGTACCCTCGAATGCTCTTCATTTTGGCCGGCGGAGGGTCTCATGCTCTGGAGGGATGTCTGGCCTAATCCGACTGTAACAGCAGAATCCTGGCTCCTGAGATTTCAATCTCCTGCTCGATACTTTTGCTCGTTTTTGTTTCTATACCTGCGCTGCCGCGTGAATCCGTCACGGCGCTCTGGGGGACGCCTGGGGGAGGGGGAGACAGGGGGCAAGAAACCCTAACCAGGCCAAACCAGTCGATGCCCGTGCGCGCTGAGCTCTTGGGCGGCCGCGTCGATCTGCTCCGCCTCGTCCTCCTCCCCTTCGTCCCGCTGGCGCTGGCGGCGGCACGGCGGGCTGTCTGGGCGGGATGGTCTTGAACTTGTTCGGTCGATGGTGACCACAAGACCAGGAGGCCAAGCGGGAGACAGTCCCCCAGGTTTGGCCAGGGATCCCCCCCTCGAGGAAAAGCCCTGACCAGCCCTGACCAAGCCTGGATCGCCCCCTCTTCTTTTGCGATTTCGCAGCTTTTTCGCAACGTTGGACCTCCAGCCCCCCCCCCGTTCTCCCTGAATTTCCGTTGCCCAGAGACGCTCTCGGGCATCCGGGCCATCAGGACCCTGTCGGGGACGAACAACCGCTCGCGGGGGAAGGGGGCGGGAGCTCAGGCTGGGGCGCGGTTTGACAGACCTCGTAACATTGGTGGGCGTGTTTTTTTCCAACCGCACGGATTCCTTTCGCCTTCAGGGAGGGGCCGGGGGGGGGGGCAGGACGCCCGCCTGGATACATGCCACGGAGCCTCCTACCCAGACTTTTGAGTTTGACAGCATGCTCGCTTCAAGGGCAACACGCGCAAGGACTTTGCCAAACATGAAGGCATGTTGGGCTCGATGCGTGGCGGGGCCTTTATCCGTAAGGGCTTCGCCCCCTGCCGCCCGCCCCTTCTCTATGGCAATGCGATCTATCATAATCGCGTCGGTGCGTCTCAACGCTGCCTCAGCGCATCTGGGAACATCATGCGGGGGCGGATAGGAATCATCAGCGCAAATTGAGATGTTGGTGTTATCGAGGACGCCTACGGCGAATCACCGCCGCCCCCTGCCTTTCTGGAAGCGCATGCGTGGCCGAAAGTTGGGTTTGAGCTTGGCCAAGCTATCGGGCCACGCGTTCCCCGAGTGGTTTTCGAAAGCCTTCGGGGAACACGGAGTCGGGCGAGCTATCGGACCAGGTGGTTTCCGAGCTTTCGGGCCTCCTGGAGGACGTCTTGGAGGGGTCTTGGGCCATCTTCAGGCCATCTGGGGCCGTCTTGGGTGCATCTTGGGGCAATCTTCGCCGTCTTGGAGGCCTTCTTGGCCGTCTTGGGGGCATCTTGGAGGCCATCTTGGCCGTCTTGGAGGCCATCTTGGGCGTCTTGGCGTCTTGTTGGGGCCCTCTTGGGCTGTCAGGGTGCCATCTTGGAGGCCTCGTGGGCGCTGTTGGGACGATGTTGGGGGCCTCTTGGGCCGTCCTGGGCCGTCGGAGAGCTGACAGAAGCAAATGCCAAATCCTTCAAATTCCGTAGGGAAGTCAACGATTTTGGCCCTTTCGGGCTTTCCTGGGGGACGTCTTGGAGGGCTCTTGGGCCGTCTTGGAGGCCTCTTGCGGGCCTATAGGGCCGTCTGAGGACATCTAGAGGCCATCTTGGGCAGTCTTGGGCCATCTTGGGCGTCTTGGAGGCATCTTGGAGGCCATCTTGGCCGTCTTGGAGGCCACCTTGGGCTTCTTGGGGACCTCTTGGGCCGTCTTGGGGCCTTCTTGGGGCCTCTTGGGCTGTCATGAGGCCATCGTGGAGGCCTTTCTGGGCCGACTTGGGGCCCTCTTGGGGTGCTCCAGGGCCGTCTTATATGCCATCTTGGCCGTCTTGGAGGCCTCTTGGCCCCGTCTTTCTGTCCTCTTGGGGCCGTCTTGGGGGCCTCTTGGGCAGTCCCGAGGCCATCTTGGAGGCCTTTTGGGCGCTGTGGGGGCGATCTTGGGGGCCTCTTGGGCCGTCTTGGGTCGTCGGAAAGCCGAGAAGAAGCGAATGCCAAACTCCTTCAACAACATAAGGAACATCAATGATTTTGGCCTCTTCGGGCCCTCCTGGAGGACCTCTTAGAGGCCTCTTGGGCCGTCTTGGAGGCCTCTGGGGGGCCTCTTGGGCCGTCTTGGACCCTCTTGGGCCGTCTTGGAGGCCGTCTTGGACCATCTTGGGCGGACTTGGAGGCCATCTTGGACCATCGTGGAGGCCATCTTGGGCCAACGTGGCCATCTTGGAGGCCATCTTGGGCCATCTTGAGCGAACAATTCTGGAATTGTGCTCCTTTCCGGGTGGCCGGCGGGACGAGCCGAAGCCCCAGGGGGAATTCTGTTGGAACAAGAACCGCAATCAAAACCGTAATAATTCGGCACGCCAGGCACCCCTGCGATGAATCGACAGGGGGGCCTCTTGGGGGCCTCTTGGGCCGTCTTGGGCAATATTGAGGCCATGTTAGGCTGTCTTGGAGGCATCTTGGACCGTCTTGGAGGCATCTTGGGGGGCGAGGCTATCGAACCATGTGTTCCCCGAGTCGGTTTGGAAAGCCTTCGGGGAACACGTGGGCGAGGAAGAGGAAGAGGAGGAGAAGAAGGAAAGGAGAAGGGAGATGATGCCTCTTCGGAGCCTCTTGAGGCACTCTTGGGCTCGATTGGGCCATCTTGGGACAGTCTTGGAGGCCATGTTGGTGCTATTTTGCGCTCTCTTGAGCCTCTTGGGGCCTCTTGGGGCCTTTTTGGGACTTCTCGGGGGCCTCTTTGGCCGTCTTAGGGCGTTCCTGGCCCGTCTGACGCCGTCAGGAGCCGTCTTGGGGGCCTCTCTGAACCGGCTTGGGGCCCTCTTGGGGCGCTTCGGGGCCGTCTTGGAGGCCATTTTGGGCGTCTTGGAGGCCTCTTGGCCCGTCTTGGGGCCCTCTGGGGGCCGTCTTGGGGGCCTTTGGGGCCATGAAGGGGTTGGAGCCCTCGTGGGCGATCTTGGGGCGATCTTGGCGGCCTCTTGGGCCGTCTTGAGCCGTCGGAATGCCGAGAAGTGACAAATGCCAAAATCCTTCAAAACCCTACGACAAATCAATGATTTTGGCCTTTTCGGGCCCTCCTGGAGGACCTCTTGGAGGCCTCTTGGGCCGTTTTGGGGCGTCTTGGAGGCTTCTTCGGTGAACTTGGAGGTATCTTGGACCCTCTTGGGCCGTCTTGGAGGCCGTCTTGGACCATCTTGGGCGGATTTGGAGGCCATCTTGGACCATCTTGGAGGCCATCTTTGGCCAATGTGGCCATCTTGGAGGCCATCTTGGACCATTTTGGATGATTTTTTTTCCGGATTGAGGTCCTTGGCAGTCTTTCCAGGTGGCCGGCGGAACTCGCCGGAGGCCCAGGGGGAGTTCTTTTGGAAAAGCTCCAAAACCCAAACCGAGAGGGTTCAGCACGCCAGGCACCCCTGCGATGAATCAACAGGGGGCGGCGGATCGAAGACGCCTGCGGCGAATCATTGCCGCCCCCTGCCATTTTGGAAGCGCCTATGTGGCCAAACGTTGAGGCCAGACCTGCCAAGCTATCGGACCATGTGTTCCCCGAATCGGTTTGGAAAGCCCTCGGGGAACACGTGGGCATCTTGAAGGTCATCTTGGCCGCCTGGAGGCCATTTTGACCCTTTCGGGCCTTCTTGGAGGACGTCTTGGAGGGCTCTTGGGCCGTCTTGGAGGCCATCTTGAGCGTCTTGGAGACCTCAGTGGCCGTCTTGGGGGCCTCTTGGGGGCGTCTTGGGCCTCTTGGGCGATCTTTGGGGGCACTTGGGCCGTCTCGGGCCGTCGGAAGGCCGAAGAACAAACATGCCACAATCCTTCAAAAACCTAAGGAACATCAATGATTTTGGCCTCTTCGTGCCGTCCTGGAGGCCCTCTTGGAGGCCTCTTGGGCCGTCTTGGGCCATCTTAGTGCCAACTTCGGCCGTCTTGGTGGGCCCCTGGCCCGTCCGACGCCGTCAGAAGCCGTTTGGGGGGCCTCGCTGAGCCGACTTGGAGCCCTCTTGGAATGCCCGAGGCCATCTTGGGCGTCTTAGAAGACTCTTGGGCCGTCCTGGGGGCCTCTTGGGGGCGTGGTAACCAGCTGGTTTGGGGCTCTCCCCCCTCGCGCGGATTTCAACAGTTTACAGTAGGAAGCAGAACACAGGACTGTAGCATTGCATATGCTTGAAACTGCAAGTGGTGCAGGGAGCAGCACACTTCGGCCTACTAGCCTGGTGGCCCCACAAGGGGGCCGGCGGATTTTCCTGTCGCACGATGTTCGATTAGGCGTAAGAGTGACCCTGCGCTGGAGTGACCTTTGGTGCAGGCCCATTGGGGTCCCCCGATCGCCGAACGCGATGCGATAGTAGGGAGCGTCTTGCGCGCCTGTGTGTGGTCCCCCCGTGGCCCCCAAGAACCCGCGCACCAAAGGTCACTCTTACCCAGAGTCACTCTTGCGTGTAGCCCAGAAGTGAGACCAAGAATTTCACCTGGGGGCGTACCCACGCATCTGCAACAAACGGCAACGTTAACAGGCCCGTCCCAAACGAATCAACATTTGGCAGGGCACGCCATCCTTCGTGACAACTACATGGCGACCTATGCGCTACGCGCCCCACAGGACGGATATGAGGCAATGCGGGCGGACGGGACATGGGGGGAAGCCATTCTAAGATGGAGCCAGGCGGACTCGGTTTTAAGGTGGGAGACAGATGACGGCGTGTGCGGCGAGGAGGAGAATGGTGCGACAATGATTGTCTGATTCGTCGACGTTGCAGGACCGCTCCCGGCTTGAGACTGACAGTCGGCC